GGGGTTTTTATAGGGATTTTGTGTCCTGAGGCCAAAACTCTGAGCAGTTACTGTTCAACAAAGAGTTTAGATGGCTGGTTGAATGAATTTCCTGGAACCGTGGAACTGAATCAATAGACGACTGGGCAGAGTCCTCTCGTATGTAAAAGTTCTGAGTGCTTCTTGATTGTATCTTCGGTTTGGGCTCTCAGAGTGAAGTATCCAAGTCCGGTGTGGAGTCAACAGATATCTCGGCTGGGCTTCCACTTATTGTCCGGCCTGATTGCATCTTCAGTCGGGGTTTGCAGGGAGGGGTGCCCAGGTGCGGTGTGGAGTCGATGGCCATCTCGGCCTGGCTCCTTTCTTTGTTTAGCTTAATCGTTCGTGTCCTGCTTTTTCTTTCAGGCTGATGAACGTCGCCTAGGGTCGTTACCGCCTGAATGGGTAGTTACTGCTGGGTTTGGGGAAATTCTTCGGCCACACTATATTTTATATACTTTTTACATTGTTACAAATCTAGTTATATACTTATTTATTCTTTCATGAATTTTTTATCCAAGGTTACATTTATCACACTGCACACTGCAGGAAAAGATGAGGAAACAGTCGTGTGGAGTTAGTAACTTACACTAAGGTCTGGCATGTCTGAGTGGAAAGATAACATGATTTTACCATAAAAGGGGCAAATATATTATTACTGTGGTATATGAGATTCAATTAAATGGCAATGTCAATTAAACAGTTTCCAGAGCTTTTGTTTGGAAGCTTGCAAAGCTTTATTCCTGCAAAAGCTGTTCATTGAGTATCAACAATTAGTTCCCCTGCCAATTTTACAGTCTCTGCTGTGCAACTGATTGAACAGCAGAGACTGTAAAACTCTGTGCTTCTGTTGAAAAGCTGGGTTCAAGTCCATCCTTTGGTGAGTATTTAAGTGAAGTAGATTCAGCAGGAATGTGAATGAATAGCTTGAACAGAGCGTAACCTTGGAAATGCTTAGTGCTCATCAGGCTGGAGGAGAGTGAATTCTACAGGGGTCTTTGAACTCTCATTTGCAGCACCTATTAGTTATCATGGGGATGGTTTCTTTCAGATTTTGACCAGAATTTTTTTTCTTTGACTGGAGAAGGAATTTCAATTTAGTGTCAGGCGAGTAGAAAATCTTTAAGTGAACAAGCGTCCCTCCTAACAGGCTGACATAGAGACATTGCAGTCTTCCTTTCAGAGAATGCCTTAGCACTGTGTTATTTCATTTGTAGTGTTTTGTACTGGTGAGTTGATTAAAATATCTCGGTACCATAGGTTTTATTGGCCCCAAGACCATGGCCATTTCCTGGAAAGCCTCAACCTTCACGCAAGACATTTGACAGCATTTTTGCCATACACAAACATTCTCTACATCCCTCAAGGAAAGCACCTGTAAACAGTACCAATGGCACCACTGTTCCAAGCTGGAATGCAGTAAGCATGCTCAGGGTAGTTTTCCCTGTAAAGATGACTTTGCTCAAGCCCAGCTGAAGCTGCTGCTGTGTCCAGGTCCCAGGCTGCCCTCCATCCCCACCCCATCTCTCTGACCCTCCATTGCTCCATCCCTCTGTCCCTTCAGCCCTCAGTCCCTCCACCCCTCAGTCCCTCTGACTCTGCTTCCCTCAGTCCCTCCATCTTTCCATCTGTTATAAATCCATATTGTGATATTTGCTTTCGCATGTATTAGGACGAATATTATATGTTAAACGCTTTTTGGCTATGTATGTACTTTTTCTCTTGCTAGCAAATTTTAGGCGTAAAGGAATTTCCTGGTGTCCCTCTATACAAAGCAAGAAAACCCCAGAGGGCAAAGACAGTGGGCCCCTAGCTGTTATCAGCGGAAGAACAATGGAGCCCAGACTGTTAGCAGCAGGACACGGAGACCAGGCTGTTGTCAGCAGCAGGGACCAGGCCGTTGACAGTGGAAGGACATGAAGCCCAGCTGCCATGAGCGGAAGGACGAGGGGCCCAGACTGTTATCAACACTGACCGCTTGCAGAAAAAGGAAATCAAACTCAAAAATAATGAAGATCAGCAAAAATATAAACTGTACGGACCATGCTCTGAAAAGGCGGGTTCAGGGCGTAACCATGAAAAATGCTTCTTAGGAAAGTTTGAATATGCATTAAACCCTCACAGCAGGAGGGGATAAAAAGGGTGTTCCAAAGATATTGGGTGTGTTCCTGGCAACATGCCAGGGCACCGGCCATTTTAACCCTTTGCTTTATTTTCTTTGTCTCCTAATTGTCTTTTTGTTTATATTAAACTTTTTATAATTTATTAAGAAAGTGAACCTCATTTTTCACACATCCCTTTGTGAAAAACAAGGTTCACATAATTTTTATAGAATTTAAAAGTTTAATAAAAAGACAATTAGGAGAAAAAAATAAAGTATACAGATACGGCCGGGTGTCTCTGCATTCAGCCAAGAGAGCACACCTTATTAACAAAGGATTGTCCCTTAAAAACAGAATCCTACTACATATCCATAAATTCTCATACATATTCATACATTCTTCTTAGGATCTTTGGTGTTCTTCTGTTTAATTTTCTCTTGCCCCCTTCCCAATAGATCAATCTTCTTGGCACTATTGAGATTTACATTCCCTGATACCAGAAATGCAATAAATTCCTCCCCCCAGAGTTCTGGTCACTGCTGTCTTCATCTGGATAAGATAGTTTACAAAGGCAGGAGTTCTCTAGCTACTTTTTTTTTTCTCAGTCTTTGGGTTATACAAACAAAAGCAGTTTTTATTTTAATACTATGCCATAGCCTAACATATATGTATTATACTACTATTTCTAAGTTTCATCAGTAACAGAAATAAAGAAAACTATATTAATACCAAAAAAAATCCCATTCTTATACACATAACATTCATTTTAATATTTGCGAAAAGCCAATAATATAATATGTATCTATAACACCTTCATCCCTCTATCCCTCTGTCCCTTCATCCCTGCATCCTTCCATTCCTCTGTCCCTTCATTCCTTATTCCCTCCACCCCTCAGTCTCTCCATCCTCCTTCCCTCCATCCTTCTTGTCCCTTCTTCCCTCCATCTCTCAGACTCTTCATCTCTCTTTCCCTCCATCCCTCCATCAGTCTTATCCCTCCTTCCCTCCATTCCTCAGTCTCTCCGTTTCTACTTCCCTCCATCCCTCCATGGCATTGTCCCTCCTCCCCACCACCCCTTTGTCCCATCATCCCCCCCTCCTCCCCTCCCCGTCCCTCAGCCGGGTGGGGCGGGTCCGCTGCAGTACTCACCGCCCACCGCTAGGTCGCGCCAGCCCCGGGGCTTCTATGGCGATGGCGGCTTTGCTCCCCGCGCATGCACGGCCATCTCGGCGGCTTCCGGCGCGCCCGAGGCGACGGCGGGGTTGCGATGGAGCGGTTCGGGCCCGGACCCGTGAGTGCCGTGCCGGTGGCCGAGTTCAGGCCGTGAGTCCCGGGGCGGGCAAGAACAGGGTTCGGCGGTGGGGTGCGGGGAAGGCTACGCGCTGGGCCGCGGCGCGCAGGGGCGCCCTGCAGCCACGGGACACCCGGGCAAGAGCGGCGGCGGAGCGGGAGGGGGTGACAGCTCGGGCCAGGAGGAACCGGAGCGGGTGGAGGAGGAGACCCCCGGTTTGCCTTGGTCACGCTGCGTAGCCCTGGGCCATCCCGAATCTCGAGCGTGGAGGCTGCCGGCCGTCGGGAAAGCGTGCCGAGCTAGGCTGAGCTTATACACGAATGTTTGTTTTTGCTGCGTAGGGAAGCGATGAGAGTATGTCAGTGTAAGAAAAGTATTTGTCAACAGTGGAGTTTTTAACTTTGGTAATAAGCTGGAGGTCATCTTACTCTTCTGTGGGTAAGTGTTGATAGAATGGTTTCTAATTTCCATAGGGAAATTCTGAATGCAGTTATGTCCTCCACTCTGATACTTTTTCAGGCAAACGCTAGTAAAAAAATAATTCGCATGTTTTTCTTTTTTTAAGCTACCCAATATGCTGCCTAAATGTATGGCAGTACACGAGCAGCCGGAAATGCTGTTGGCTGCAGTGTAGAAGCTGTGCGTGGCTACACATAACTGTTAGAGAATGAGATAATTTTTTTCCCTATTTCCACTATTTTTTCAAAGAAAAACACATATTTGTGTTTCAACGCCCTAAGGACTCGAGTCTTTGAACCAGCCAGCCTATGAAAGTGAGAAGGGTATTTCCTGACTTAATATTTACTTCAGCATGAAATAATACAGTGATCCCCAGGCAGAGTGAGTGAGAACTGGTGGAAGCATATGCAGAACCAAGCTGTATGTGGTGTTTTGTAAACACAACACCTGTTTTAGGAGATCAAGTTCAGGGAGACCCTGCCAAATGCCTAAACCTTCATAAGCCCTCTGTTGTTAAAGGTGTTCTAGGTTTAGGTCTGTGAAGGCAAAGTTTTGGTGTAGTGTCTGTATGTTCTGTCACTACACTTATTCCATCTTCCTTAGTTAAAAAGTGAAAAATTATATTTAAGTAGAGGAAGAAGACCTAGTAAAAAGGAACTTGGAGTAGTAAGCTGTTAAATTAATTCAGTGTATTTCCTTTTTATCCCAGCCTGTAAGATCTGTCATTTTCCTGGACTTGTAGTTACTTTAAAACAAAATAAAAAAAAAAAAAGGAACTTGGCAAGTTTTAATGCAGAATACTGTCAGATGGCATGTGTATGTGTAACTAATATTAGATTTTTAATAATATAATAATTATGCAGTAATGCACTGATAAACATATTAACCCCCCTATGCAGGAACAGGGAAAAATCTAAAGATTGTTTTTAATTTTGTTTGTGAGCTTAGACTGGCAGAATCATTACATTGTTTTGAATACTTTCAGCTAAGAAATACTTGCAGCCAAGAAATGCATATTTCAAGTCTTTATTGCTTCCAAACATACACTTACTCAGTTCTTGAAAAGTAATCTGCTTCTGTTTGGAACAAGTTCTTTTCCTGTTTCAGGCATATATATTGTGACTTTCTTTTGTATGTAACTTCTGTTATTTATTTCAGAAATGAGGGTACATTAACATCGACTTTAAGAACACTTCTGTTCTTCACAGCTCTAATGATTACATTACCTGTTGGACTGTATTTTTCATCAAAGGCTTATGTATTTGAAGGTAATTTTGTTTCTGCCAATTAGCATTATTATTACAAAAATAGAAGAAAAGCACGATCCTCTAATAGCATCTTTGTTCTTCCTGTTTTGAGTATTTATATATAGATAAGAAGTCCTGTAATGCCTAATTAGAACAGAAAATTATATAAATGGTTGCTGTATCCTTCCCTGCGCTGTGGTCTGCAATCCAAAATCTGCTGTTTATTATATAGTTGTTTATATTGTATAGAAGTGCATTGTTTCCCTTGCCTAAAGGGTACTTAACACCATCCTGCAGCAGTCTTTTGTCAGAATCATCAGAGATATGTTCCTGCAGCTATTGCAAACTAATCACATGTTCAAGACAGAGTAATGTTGTTCATGAGGTTTATATTTTGCTTTTTGAAACACACGTGCATTTAAACAAGTTATATGCAATCTGATATTGAATGTGGTTGCTTGTAGAGCCTTCTTTTAATTAAAAGTAAAAAAAAGGAAGAGAGATTATGGCTGTTTGATTGAACAAACAGCCATGTTGTAGTGCTGATTCTGCAAGGTTTTAATACTTACTTCCTATAGTTCTAGGAAGTTATCTCCTTCAGAAGTGGGGAAGAGGAAGGGAGAAAACAGCTGCTTTTAAGAGCAGTTTATGAGTGTGTAACAGTTGTTCTGAGATAACTCTCCTTTGGTGTGCACTGCTGTAAAGCTTGTTAAGTAACTTTCAAGATCCTTTGAAAGGATTGTCTTTGCAGGGTGATGGTTTTGGAGTGCTGTAATGTGTAGGTTTTGTTTGCTTTTGGGGTGATTCTGTTGTGTTTTTAAAATTAATTAAGGAAAACAATATTTCAGTGTTTGGTCTTCTGATATTTGAAGGCTTATTTTATATGAGATGCATTCATGTATCTTAACTGGTGGGGCACTATTGTTTTACAGTCTAAATCCAGAAGGTAATAGTCTTGTATATTTAATTGTTCTTCTACAATTTTCTCCTGTTTTAGTGGCAAATAATTACAGAATTCTCCCCCTTCTTCCTCCCACCTCCCTCCCCTATTTTATTGCCCCACAAAGAGACCTACATTTAGTAAAAAAGGATGTTGAGGTTTGTTTGGTGCTGGAAGGTACTAACAGAAAAAGTGAATGTTGTAGAACTCTTAAGCTATTGAAGTCAAATCTAGGGTATTTTATCTTAAATATTGAATACTGCAGTGTTACTTTGTTCCAGAAATAGTTTCAAGTTCTTTAACCTTTATCATGGTGAATTCTTTCCTGTGAATCATTTTGAGCTCAGATTTTTCATACAGGAGTAAATGTAACTTTGGTCTTAAGGGAGTATTGTGCCTTGCTATATCACAGTTCCTAGCTCATAACTAATATTCTTTACTTTCTTTGTTTTCTCAGGTTCCTTGGGAATGTCTGACAGAGACAGCTATTTTTATGCTGCCATAGTTGCTGTAGTCACTGTCCACGTAGTACTTGCTCTCTTTGTTTATGTAGCCTGGAATGAGGGTTCACGGCAGTGGCGCGAAGGCAAACAGGACTAAAATGAAGATCATCAGTGCCTGATGTCCACAGACTGTAAATCAGATGTTTTGTGAGCTGAAGGAAGAGCATTCTTCTAAATGTATAATACACATGCACAGACGAGGCTGATGCTTCAGTTGTGGTTAAAATAAGATTTGTACTTACTTGACTTTGTACTAGTGTTTTCTGTAATAGTAATGGAAGTTGTTCTTTAGCCAACTTCTACAATGTTGAGCTGAGGAAGCCCTCACTTGCAGTTAAAGTGGAATAATAATATACTTTTGGAAACTCCTGTAGCTACTTTTTTCATGCCTAGTATTTTTCTGGCTTGCTCTAAAAATAATATTGGCATGAAACGAGCATTAAATTTTCAAGGAATTAAATTGCTGCTTAAAAAAGCTACATTACTTAATATCCAGCTACAGTGGAAAAAATGGAATTTCACTTTCCTGTGAATAGTTTCCTGATTTATATGTGTTGTGGTTTAACCCCAGCCAGAAACTGAGCACCACACAGCTGCTCACTCACTGTGACCCCTCAACAGAATGGGTGTGGGAATCAGGAAAGCAAAGTGAGAAAACTCATAGTTCAAGATAAAGACAGTTTAATAGGTAAAGTAAAAGCTGTACAGCTAAGTGTGTTGGTTTTCAGTACAAATTCAAACCATTGCCCTATGGTAGCTATTATGAAGAAAACTACCTCTATCCCAGCCCAAACAAACCAACACAGTGGGATAGGTGTAATTAATCTATTTCTGTGTTTAGAAGTAATTTCAAAACCGGAATTGTTTAGAAACTCAGGTGATGTCTTTCTAATGTGAAGTACAATTCTTTTTTCAAATATATTTTTTATTGCAGTGTAAAATTCAGTCTTTAATTTCCTTTTGGGAGGACTGTGGTATTATACATTGCTCATCTTTCTCCTCTTCTACAATTTATCCTGTATTGCAAAGGAAAGGGCATAGCATATTTTTTTGTTTGTCTTTAGATAGGTATGTATCTCCTTGATGTTTGCTAAAGTGTGCAGTTGGATTTCCTGTGGTAAAGCAGTGTCAGTAACAGCCATAAGCTGCTGTAATGGCTGGTAGGGGAAGGAGTGAGAGAAAACAAGCTGTAGTCTGTAAATGGTGTCCTTTATGAAGCGGAGGACATAAAAATGACCACATGGAATACTGGCTTCTTTTCGTAACTACTTACTTGTACACTGTGAAATGATACAATATGTTGATTGTTTTCTTTTTTCCTCGGTTGTGCGTAGTCAAATTTTAGTGAGATTTTTGTAAGATAATATGAATTTCATTCCACTGTTGTGCTGTTGTTAGCAAGCTTCTTAATCTCTGGCTAAAACATTTTTTCTAGAGTTCTGGCAAGGCAGACTTTTTTAACCCTGATGATGGCTGTTAAAGCTGTTGTGCTTGAGGTCATTCTGTTAAATTGAATTTTCCAGTTTATTGTATTAGTTTAGCCTTTCTTGGAAGTTTTTTAGCCTTTCTTGGAAGTTTTTAGCTTAGTATGGGGCTTGGCATAGTTTTGGTGCTGCATGTAAACATATGTATATGGTATGGTAAAACATATGTATAAATGAGGCAAAAATTGATTATCTGTGCCCAGTGGCTTGAGATTTCTCCAAACCTCATTCCTGTCTTGTCTACCCCAGTGTCAGGTATGCATGAGCATATTCACCATGACTCACTAATGCAAATCAGTTTTTTACACTTGGTTTCTGCTGTGTTACCTTTTCTCATCCAGAGCTACATTGTCAGGTTGCTGCTGGCAAGCTGGAGACTCTTACCAGAGTACTTGAAGTGCAAAGTTAGTTTGTACATGGGCATATTGGCTTCCTGTTCTCCAGTGTATGAAATGTACGTTGTGGAACAAATACTGCCTTTCAATAAAGACCTGCCCCTCAATACAAGATACAGTAAACAACATGTGTGGAACACTTTTTGAATGTCTTTAATATTCCACATGTAGAGTACAGCTTAAAGCAAATATATAGCCCTGTTCAATAGCTTAGCTTTTTTTTATTATTTTTAATTTATTCACAGTGGAGAATAAATGAAGAGCTACACTTATGAAATAAAGAAGTTGAAATTTATTTGGTACTAGAAGACAGTGGCAGAGAAAATGAATGTTACAGAAGTATATGATGCTGACTCCAAGGGGAACACACCTGCTGTGCTATATTAGGTGGATCCTGTGCTGTGTCTGTTCTATATTTCAGGTAGCAGAATCCCTAGACATAAAGTTAATTTCCTAGGAATAACAGGAAAATAATTCCTTATTATAACTTTAGTTAAAAAAATCTGACAAGTTTGGTCTTCACTGTATGTGCAGGTGCTGTAATGTCTCAGAAGCTGGGGGTAATGAGCTGAGCATTAGTCCATCTATTGGAAGATCTTTGAAGGTAATGTCTTGATCCACAACATTCATGGTGAGAAAAGAGGCACTGCCTGAGTCTGCACAGCCATAGCCAGGTGCTGGTTTGATGTTGCCTGTGCTTCTGAGTGGGAACAATCCCTCAAGTAAAGGCTGCAATGAAAACAGCCTGTGAAGGGTTGTTCGCCTGCAGCCCAGGGAGGTTCCTGGGGAGCATTTTCTTCCCTCCCTCTTTGCCAGCAGTGGGGAGCCACACTGGAGCAGTCTGTTGCTGAAGGAAGGGACCCACACTAGAGCAGTTTGTGAGGGACTCTACTGAGGAGGAAAGAGGGCAGGAACAATGTGTGAAGAGCTGACCACAACACCCATTCCTTGTTCCCCTGTGCTGCTGCAGGGGAGGTAGAGAACTCAGGAGTCAAATTGAACCTGGAAGAAGAGAGTGCTGGGGGAAGGTGTTTTATTCTGCATCATCCTACTCTGATTTGATGGGTAATAAATTAATTTTGCCAAACTGGGTCTGTTTTTCGCATGATGGTAATTAGTGAATGACCTCCCTGTGCTTGTCTCAACCCAGGAGCTTTTTGTTACATTTTCTCTTCCCTGTTCAGCTAGAAAGGGGAGTGTTTGCATAATTTTGATGGGCATTTGGTGTCCGGCCAAGGTCAAACCCACCACATTTAAACTGATAAAATTTTGGAGAGATCAAAATTCTTTTTGGTTTTATTTTTTTATTTTCTGTAGAATGGTGATGTAAAATTTTTAACAGTGTGGTATTTAAAGTAGTCCTGTAAGTTTGTTAATTTTACTACTAGGAATGGATTTGAGACAGCTCACAAAAAGACAACTGGAAAAACTGTCCGTGTAAGTCCTTCAGTACTTCACAGTTGTGTCTCAGTTAATGTGTTTGTACAGGTTGCACAGTTTGACAATTAGTCAACTAAAACAAGCAATTGTATCTCACAGTGAGCAAATACTTTGAGACAGATTGTAGCGTAAATTTTCCAGAACATTTTCCAAGAGTGAATAAATGGGAGAGAATTAGGAAGTGGGAAATCAGTGACTTTTAATTAGTTTTTGTCTTCTGTACTTAATATCTTTGTCTTTTAAAATGCCCGCAGGACACTGTGGTGGTGGGTACCCAGTCTGTGAGAGTGTGCAGATGAGCAGCTTTGCTTTTTGCTTGGGGATGCCTGACTAAACTCGTTATTAACTACCAGCACTAAAACATCTCCAAACCAAATGGCCATTAACAGGAATTATCATTGCTTAAGGCATATGAACTTGAAACAGTCTTTACAGTACATTTGAAGCAAAACACTGCCTACCTGTTTCTTGCATTGTAGAAAAGGGCCTAGTAATAACACTCAACATTAAAAAAACCAAACCCCAAGAAACCAGCCAAAAACAAAACCAACAACCCTATCCTCCAGAAGGCCCAAGCTCCTGTGTTGTTTTCACTCAGACTGATTCCAGGCAGAAGGCTGTAGTTTTGCCTTGTTGTTAGAGCCACACAACAAACTAGAGGGCAGGCTGTGCTACCTGATCACTCTGATGGGCATGGGGAACTTGTGGTGCTCGCTGAGAAATTATGTTCTCACTTAGTGCATTGGTGAACAGTAAAATTTTTGATACCACTGCAATTTTGGTGGGTTTTAGCCTGCTGTGACTACTGTAGTTAAATAAATTGTGCTTAGGCTTCTGTCAGCCCTCGCAGCTAGACAGGGTGTACTGAGAGCATCAGGCAGGGATGTGGTTGGTACTAGTTCAAGTGAGTAAGTACTAGTTCAAGTAAGTAAGAGATGAGAAAGCAAAAGGTCCTTAAATAATCAACTGAGCCACACATGTATTACAGAATACCGTATTTTGGGTATGACAAATGTAGGTAGGGTGCAGCCCATGGGGCAAGAGGAGAAGGGTCCAGTGAAGCAAAGGAGTGACTTGGGGAGATGGGGTGAGGGCTGGAATGTGCTAGCATGGCTGGATGTATGATGGCAAAGGTACCATATGTTTTGTTTAGAAGAATTTATTCCACTGTTTTTCAAGGGATTATGCAGAACCATTGGTCTGAAATACTAAATCTAAATAGTACAAAATAGTAAGCTAATTCCATTTTAAACTTCCAACTAAAATTATTCATAGGTTGACAGCTTTGCTGTGTGAGATATGGGACACATTTATTAACTTTGTTTTGTACAAATCAGCATTGTTACGGGCTCTGAGTCATCTCATAGGGCATGGTTAAGCCCTTGGAGTATAAATATTTCTTTAAAAATACCAATGAGCAACTACCACTAATGTTTCATTAGCTCAAATCAATTGTCAGTTTAAGAGTAATACAGAAGCTGTTTGAAGGTGGCAGAGAGATGAGCTGCTTGTGTCCCTGCAAGAGGAGGCCCTCAGATGCTTGAATGGGACTTGCAAGAAGAAATTGCTGTGTGATTCAGGGCCCCCACAGTCATTCTCTTATCTGAAGATACACCAGTGTCTGAATTTCTGAGCTATTGGCATAGAGCTCGAGTCTCTTTGTTAGGAGAAGCACAGTGTTGTGTCACAACGCTGAGCTGTAGTTGTAAGACAGAAAATGGAGGTAACCTTTTGGGACTTGAGCTCTGCTTGAATCTAAGGCAGTAAGAAAAGGGGTGGAGGAAATGCAAGGAGATTCCTGAGAAAACTGCCTTTTTAGATGCTCGTCTCCCAGTTCTGGAACCATGAGACAGAGTAAATTGAGGTTCTGTTTCAAAAGGCAGCGATACAGACTGGGAAGCTTTGTGGGGAAGAATGCCCAGGGTGA